GAGATCGTGACCTGAGCTGAAGTCGGACGCTCAACCGACTGAGCCACCCAGGCGCCCCCATTTTGGCCTTTTAAAAAAAGTTCTTGGGCACCTGGCTGGCTCAGTTGGTAAACTTTGGACTTCAGTTCATGTCATGATCTCGTGGTCCTGATTTCCAGCCCCGAGTCAGCATCTGAGCTGTCAGCACAGAGCCCGGACCCTGCTTCAGATTCTGTGCCTTTCTGTCTCTACCCCTCTCCTGCTCACGCGCTCTCTCTCTCTCAAAAATGAATAAATCTTAAAAAAATAAAAATAAAAAATTCTTTGTGGATATGTAAGACCAGTTGTTGGGCGCGTGAACTGGAAGTGACATTAAATAGTACCAGGTTCACAACCCACCAAAAATAGACACATTGCTGTACCCACATAGTTGAACACAGAAAACCTAACACAATGAGAGAAAACAGTGTGTTTGTTTATTTGTTTTTATATGAGAAGACAGTTTTTGATGAAGTGAAGGAATCTTGCTTTTGAACATTTTTGCTCAATTGGAATTGCTTTCACAATCCTGTGTGTGTTTGTGCAGGCAAGTGATAACTTTTTTTACATTCAGTTGTGGCTCCCTAATGAGTCACCTCCTAATCTGGTCAAACTGGTCAAACTTACGGAATTTTCCATTTCTTTATGCGATCTCTGGCAACTCCCCAAGCTTCCATTATAGCTGCCCAATGTGTCAACACTTCTAGGGGCCCTTAATCTCACCTCCTCCCTCTGGAAGCTTCCCTGCCATTACCTGCTACTAGCGGCAGTTCTGGATTTATTCCTTCCTTCTTTCCAGATCTGCAGTTTAAACTTTATTGGCTGGAAGCAAAGGACATCACTGTACCCACCGCCTGGCAAGTAGACATGGTGATAGGGGTTCAAATCTTGCTGCTGTTGGCATAGCAGAAAAAGATCCATTACAAATGCTGTTTGCCATGAATCAGAAACCTACACTCTATAGTTGACCTACCTTTTGAGTTAACTTTCTCTCTGTGGACTGGTCTGGAAACCGAAACATCTATATTCCTTTTCATTTCCTGGCAAGGAGAGTGTCTCCTGGATTTTGTCTTTTACACTGGATGCCTTCCAAGGCAAAAACCCAGTCACAGGTTTAACTGGTGTCTAAAGTGACTGTAAGAACCCCAAGAAATTTTCTAGAATTTTACTTTGACTAAGTTTGCAACTAGGTTTTATCAGGTTTAGCATTTGAAAGGATAGAGTATCAGGTTTCCTCAAGCTGGTGGAACTGTCAGGTGCTTAACTAAGCGGGGAGTGGGGAGACGGGAGAGGGAGAGCCGAGAACGTTGACTGCTGGCGGCAGGAAGTATGGAGGAGGGGAGCCTTTATCACTAAAGCTGCTGCGGGTTCTTTTTTCTTCTCCTTTTTCCCTGCAGGTTCTTAAACTTTACTGTTTTCTCCTCAGTTCTTTCAGTTTTAAAAGATGGTATAATTCCAAGGTTAGCCAGAAAAAAGTAAAAGAGGTAACTGATAGGAAACCTAGAACCAGGCATTTTAACAACTCGGTGGCAAAAGCTGCAGTGACCTGGGAAAGCTGCAGATTTCCAGCAGCTTGGAAAAAACTGAGAAATACCCAGGTTTGTATCTGACTCTATTTCCTTGTTCAGGCTGTTTTGTTTTTTGGTTTTTGTTTGTTTGTTTCTTCCTCTTCTTCCTCCTTCTTCACAAGGAAATGCTTGTAAGTTACCTAAATTACAAAAGTCTCTATCTCTAAAATGGAATCAACAGAATCTATTTTATAGGATGGTAGGCATCAGTGATTAATAAGATAATGCTTCTAAGGCCTTAGTTCTGTGCCTGTGACAGAGTAGTGCTCTAAAATTTGCTCCCTTCTCGCTTCTTAGCTGGGATTCCATACTCAGGTCTGACATCTCAAGTCTTTCCTGTTGAGTTGCCTACAAGGTTGGGGACAACTGCCAGGACAATGGCATTACTTTCAGTTTCCTGGAGAAACTATCTTAAGATTTTCAGGCAGAGGCCATTCAGGCAAACCTTTTCATTTTCAGAGAGGAACACAAAGGATCAGTGGTTCAGTGGCTTGGTCTGGTCACTCAGCTAATTATAGAACAGGGGATTGAACCTACAGGTCCTCATATTTCCCGTTTTGAACTTCTCTCAGGGCTGGAACAGGCATCCTATCCCTTTCATTCTCTGAAGAGGAAAACAAATGGCCACAGAAGGGAGTGAAGTGAATGTCAGGGCTCTGACAGAGCACATTAGGGGGACACCACGGGGCTATGTGACCAGCCAGGGACTCCTCTCTCTGGGCTGCCACTTCTGACTCCTGACCATCCCAACCCCACCGCCCACTCCTACCTTTCCCACCCTTCCAGCTCTCCCAGCCCTGCCTCCCCTTCCCTTCATAACAGAAGGTTCCCTCGAAAAGGGGAAAGCAGCGAGCCCTGTTACTATGGCTAGGCTGGGACAGAGTTCACAGAATTTTCTGGAAATTAAATATAGAGAGATGACTAAGCTTGATTTTCTAGGGCGGGAGTTAGCGGGGTTGAGGGTGTGGAGAGACTTGGATGAGGCAGTTTGTTGATGAGTTTTCCTACGAGTCAGTCTCCGCCCTGGAACCCAGAAAACTCCAGAAAGTTCGGGACAGCGGTGAAAGGGAGCGTAGAGCGCCAGCCGGAGAGGGCGGGGGCGCCAGCCGGCGGGGGCGGGGCCGCAGAGCGCGGAGGCCGCCGCTGGGGCCTAAATGGCGAGGCTGGCCGCAGAATTGCCTGGCCGGTACCGGGGTTTTGTGATTGTTTTTTTCCAAAACGGGGTTAAAGGAGAAAAAAGGCGAGAGCTTCAGAGTATTTCTCACACTAGCTAATTTATGCGACGAAAACACTGGAAAGTCGCGTAACTCCTACAATTAGGCCGGACGAATTGGGTGGCCAGACGCCAGAAGAGAAGGTCCCCACACAGCCCGAGGCGAGCGCACCCGGGGCCTGGCGAGGACGTGCGGCGGAGACGCACCCGGCCTTGCCCTGTCGCCGCCTCACCTTCACCTCCTGGCTCTAGTTCCCCATTTAAAGGCCCTCGGAAGTGATTCTCGTCTTCTGGACATCTTCCCCCTGCCTCAATGCTTCCCGGTTGTGCCCGATCTTCCGATCCTTGACTGGGCCCGACAGGGATGGTGGGGCGGGTTGGGTTCACCCCGATGTCCGGAATTCCCTGTGCGGCCCGATCCCTTAGGCTTTCTGTGAGCGGCTCG